ACAGCCCTGCCCCATTAACAGCATTAGCCCCATCTTACCTCTGCTGCTACAGAATTACGAAGGGAGGGAAATAGATTAGGTAATTTCTTGCACCATCATTCCAAACTCTCCCTGTCTTATCCCAAAGAACCTCTCCAGAATCCAACGAGGCTTGTCAGTTGAAGGGCTCTTCCAAGGACATCAGAAGCAGAGTCTGCAGGGCCTGAAGCCAAATCCACATTCCCCAAGGCCCCCCACATACCTCTAGTTGGGATGCTGATACTTGCATGCCTTTGAAACTCAAGGACACCAACTCTGCTCATGTCTGGAGGGGAAAAGAAGAAACAGACACCTGAGGATGAACAACCCTCAAACATCTCCCTGAACAGAAAAGTGGCTTGCATTTATTTCCCAGAGCTCCTTGGCTTTCTTACTGTCTCCTGAAGGCATACTGGCCTCAGATGCAGAGACCTCAGCCCACTCAGGCTCTCCCACCCCTCATCATCCCCCTTAGTGCTAAGGAGTGCAGCTGCAGACTCCATGAGCCCACCTCTCTGAGGTACCCACCTTTACCATGTACCTTGATGGTTTCTTCCTGTCCCCTGCTGGATCCCAGCAGTCCAGGGAACTCTCACTTCCACAGACAAAAGGAGGAAAGGGCAGGATGCACTGGACTGGCCTTTGCCTCTGGCTACTTCTCACAGCTTGACTGCCTCCCAAGTGATTCTAAAATATTGAGTCTGAGTGAACTGCTGCTTAATAGTGCGTGCTACCCAGGATTCTGCACCATGGCCAGAGTGAGACTAGGAATTAATAACTGTGAGCGATTATCATGGAAACTGTCTCCAGGAAAAACGACCAGGTTTATACCATTCAACCTTGGGAAGATAAAATCAGGCCTAGCCAAAAAAAGAAAAGAAAGATCTACAGCAAATGTAGGACTTGAAATCCAAAGAGTATCCTGGAGCCTGATTATACACCTGCCTTGTCTCTGTCCGGGAGGCATGGGGTGAAGTGGGGGTGGGGGAGGGCATCTCTGTCCAGCCCATCAACCAACTCAGAATCTTGTGCTCATCCTAGACCCTCCCCCAACACCTCCTTGCCCTCATCCCACTGTCAATTTTGCCTCTCTGTGGGTCTCTGCTCTGCCCTGCCATGTGACCTGTGAAGACCCTCTCTGTCTCCTGCCACAGCCTCCTTTCTGCTCTTTCCCCATTCAACACCTCACCTACCCTCACCCCAGCCCTGCTTCTAAGAGCCCCTGAAAAAACAGAAATCTCATCACATCACCTTGAATAAAAACCATCAATGAACAATAATGGCAAAATATTTATCATTGTTAAGGTTGGATGGTGGGAACACGGGGGTTTATTTTATTATTCTCATTACATTTGTGCATGTTTGAAATTGTTCCTAATAAAACGAATCCTCAACAACCCTCCAGGGATCTCAGGATAAAGTCCAAAGTCCCCAGACTGGCATTCAAGGCCCGTCAGGATCTAGCCCTAGCCCATTTTTCCAGCTCACCTCCTGGTACTCACTGAGCTGCACCCTCTCTTGGCACCCAGCTCTCCCCTGCAGCCCTCTTTGCGGGTGCATCTCCTTCTTGCAGAACACGCTTCCCCTTCTGTCCTGCCTGGAAAATGTTTCCTCATCCATTGGAAACCAGATGGAAACGACCCCTGGTCTGGGATACCTTCCTACATAGACTCTCCCTTCTTGTGAGGGGCAGGGGTGCCTTATGCCCTGTTGTCTGCCCAGGTGCGATAGAGAACAAACACCCAATATGTGTTTGAGAGAGACCAGAAAGTCTTGGTAAACAGAGCAGGTGCAACTTTTACTTGAACTTGGGCAAGTAGGGTAATCTCTCTTGGCTTCTGCTTCTGTCTCTGTAAAATGAAGATAGCAGTACTGATTTCACAAGGCTGGGGTGAGGATTCAGCGGCCATATTCCCTGTGTAAACAGCTTAACAAAGTACCTGGCAGGGAGAGAGAGAGAAGAGAGGGAGGGAGAGGGACTGACCTACAGATAGACAGACGTCAATCAAATAATACAGTGGATAATTAAGCGGCTTGTCTTAGATGAAATGCTCCCAGAACCTACAGGAAAGGAACTGCTGTTTAGCTGTTGCTGGGAGCTAGAGAAAATTGTGAAAAATCGGTGACATCAAAGTCACGATTCCTCAATCGTGCCCAGGGGTGGCTCATACTTTAGGGCGTGGGGGTCTGGGGTTTTCAAAGGTTGAGACCTGAGGCCCGGGCCCAGGTGTCTGCTTCTCTTTGGAAGAACTGTGCAGGTCTGTGACTGGGACCCGGCCCGAAATCCGAGGGCTAGGAAGACATGGGCTGTGCACGAAAATCAGCCCTGGTGACAATCCTCGGTGTGTGAGGTCTCAGTGAGCTCGGACCGCCTGGGGTGCGGACGCGCGGTGAGAAAATGAGTGGGGTCCGTAGCAGTGCCCCCCACCCGCCAGCTGCGTTCCTCCGGGCGCCCGCGGCCTCGTGCGTCACCGGCGCGGGCGGGGGCCAAGGGAGGGGGG